TGAGCAATGACACGGCTACGTGCAGAGTCCAAGCGTGCCATAAGCTAGAGACCATTCTCAAAACCTCCTTATACACAGGAAGCAGACCATATACCCCAAAGCAGCTACTCAGCTGCTCACAGTAGATTCCACCCTGGAGTTGATTTCCAGTCTCATACTGGGGAATACTACATCCAGCTGCCCAGCCACTCAACCAGACTCGGCCAAGTTGACACACAAACATAACCACCACACTCCTTTATTCTTCTCTTTAAAGGTTAGGGTTTCAGGATTATCCTCCAATCTGTTTTAGTTGGTTTCTCATTTCCTTGTTGTAGAGGGTCTTTGAGCTTGTCTGCCTATTCCATCTTGCTGAAAATCCTTTATTGTTAAAATTTTTATACTAACACATTTTTGGATAATTTTCTTCTGGAAGTAAAAAGATACTTCAGAAGTGATAGGCAACCCTACTCTGGCTTGTTTTGCATAAGGGAAAATTGAGGCCAGAATCTGTAGTGTAGTAGGTTTCAGAGTTTCAGTAGGTTTCAGAGTTTCAGTAGGTTTCACAAGACAAAGTTCTAGAATCACCTTATCCTGAAACACCAAGTTGCCTTTAGGGATTTTGTCACTGTTCCCAAGCCTCAACTCTCTCTTCTTTTAAAAGACAAGGTTGGAATAAAAATGAATGTGAATGCTTCTTTTGTTGTTGTTGTTGTTAAGTGCCCTCGAGTTGTTTCCGACTCATAGCGACCCCATGCACAGCAGAACAAAACACTGCCAGATCCCACACCAGCCCCACAATCCCTGCTATACTTGAGCCCATCATCATAGCCACCATATCAATCCATCTCCTTGAAGGTCTCCCCCTCTTTCGTTGAATGCTCCTTTTAGTTCTGTAAAATATTTTGCAATAATAGTGGAAACTAGGAGCAGAGCTACAAAATGAAGCCAGAAGTCCTTATACTTAGGATTCTTTCCAGTGATCACTCACCATTCCTTGGAAAGCACTTTAAGAGGTCAAAACCTTGATTTCATGGTGAGAGACCCATTTCCTGCCCATCATTCAGAGTCATTCCTGACCAAGGTCCCCCATTCATCAGATCTCAACCATATTTTCACATAAATAATGCACGTGTTATACATTTTTGCATACCATACAATTTCATGTATGGATTGATACGGTGGCTGCGATGATGGGATCAAGTATAGCAGGGATTGTGGGGCTGGCGCGGGATCGGGCAGTGTTTCGTTCTGCTGTGCATGGGGTTGCTATGAGTCGGAAACGACTCGACGGCACTTAACAACAACAACAACAATTTCATGAGCTATACCAATATTTTTTGTATGTTGCTGACTTCAATTTCATTTTTTTTTTTTTTTTCAGGTCAGCAGATTAAACGTTAACTTTTCATCTTGGTGCCTGTTGACATGGAGATTTGGTCCCCAGCAGCAGACCTTCAGTAGCCTATCCCTGAGTTTCTCAAACAGCAGCATTCCTTCCCTGCTCTGTAAATAATTTCTCCAGTGCAGGAAGAAATCACTGTTTCCTCCCTAAAAATAGCCATTGTTAGGGCAGCTGGCCCTAGTTCAGGAAGTAGGCAGGTCTGCACACCCTTGTCCAAAGAGGTCACTGAGGCAGATGAGACTGCCCACTACAGCCACATGCATTCTGCCCTACTGTCTAGCTGGCCCACTGCTGCACTCCTGCTGTTTGGATCTCCTGCTTACATGCCTGCATGCCCACCCTGAGCACACCTGAAAGCCACAGGTGTAGAAGGGTCAGGCATCCCTCACTAGGACAAGATGGGTCAGCCAGCTACCCAGGGGCCCCATGGGTTAGGGCAGTGCATGCCCACACCTGCACTGTCCTGACACCCAGCTTCATGTGGGGCTTACACCACAGGACCCAGGTGTGCATGGACAATGGTCCCCTCCCACTGTTGGACCAGCCCATGGTTGGACTTTGGCAGCCCCACATACAGCTGTGTGCCCTTTGCCCATCTCTGGCACAACATATCTGAGCAGAAATCAGTCCCAAGGAAGTCCACTGCTTTCAGGCCCAGCTGTAAACTGTCTCACAGCAAGCACATAGCTTTAAATGTTTATTTTCCCATTACTGGGGTACTATAAAACTCAATTCATGACTACTTGACCATGGCTTATATCTTTATTATACAAATATGATAAAAAGTAATATTTTAGGACTATTGAATGAGCCCAAAATTAACCTCTGGAAATGTCATGAGATAGATGTGGTATATGCATGGGGGTGCTGTGTCAGAATATTTTTTTTTAATTCCATAATTTCTGCCCATGATATGTTTGTGGTGTTATTTATGTGGGTGCAGTATTTGGGAAAAATATGGTATTCTACATCATTGCTATGAGTTGGAATCAACTTGACAGCAGTTAGCAGTGGGTTTGGTTTTTTATGTTTAGGTCATTGCTTATTGAAAAACTTCCAAAGAGAGGCTTGCATTTGCTAGAGACAGCCAGGTGGCTAACAGAAGAGCTGCTGAACTTATATGTTTAAAGATTCATTTTATTTATCCCTATTGAGGTTTCTCTGGCCCAGATTAAAGCCACAGTCCAGGAAGGAAAATAAAAACAAGGACAACGACATGCTGATAGGGCACTCAGAACTCCCCGCAGAGTTACGAAACTATTCTAACTAAGAGAATGTAATTACACAGCTGCGTCAGCCAAGCACCTCTGATTTCAAGAGAATCTAAAATTATTTGTATTGGCACAATTTTGGGGACCTTACATGCCTCAGAGAGTCGCAAAACCAGTCCTGAAAATTCTCTCAAATATCATGTGTTCTAACTTGGAAACAGTGGGAGAGATGGGCAAGAAGCCACCTGCCCAGACTCTGAATTCCTCTCTAGCATCCCTGGTCTGCAAAATCTGCCCCAATTCTTAATAATAGAAAATATTACAAATTCCACTTAATTGAGCACCTAGAATGATCTGGTCACCCCTCTAAACCCTCCATATATATTAACTCATTTAATCATACAACAATTCTCTAAAACAAGCATCACTCTTTCTCCCCGAAATCCTTACAACTGGACTAACAGGCAACATCATGATAAATGGAGAAAAAGACTCAAGTTGTCAAGGATTTCATTTTATTTGGACCAACATTAACACCCATGGAAGCAGCAGTCAAGAAATCACACAATGTTTTGCATTGGGAAAATCTGCTGCAAAAGGCCTCTTTAAGGTGCTAAAGAGCAAATACGTCACTTTAAGGACTACAGTGCATCTGACCCAAGCCACGGTATTTTCCATTGCCTCCTATGCATGTGAAAGCTTGGCAATGAGTAAGGAAAACTGAAGAAAAATTGATGCCTTTGAATTAAGGTAGTACCTAAGGCATTTGACTGCTAACCAGAAGGCTGGCAGTTCAAACCTCAGAAGGAAGATTGGGCAATCTATTTCCATAGAGATACCACCTCGGAAACCCAAGGAAGGGTCACTATGAGTCAAATCGACTCAATGGCAGTGAGTTTGGTTTTTTTTTTTTTTTTTTTTGGAAGAACATTGACCATACCGTGGACTGCCAGAAGAAGGGACAAATCTTTCTTGGCAGAAGTACAGCCAGAATGCTTCTTGGAAGCGAGGCTGGAGAGACATCATTTCTTGTACTTTAGTCATGTTATATCAGGAGGGACCAGTTCCTGGATGTCATGCTTGGTATAGAGTCAATGAAAAAGATGAAGACCCTTAATGAGATGGATTGCCATAGTGGCTGCAATAATGGACCCAAACACAGCAATGATTGTGAGCATGGCGCAGGATGGGCAGTGCTTCGTTCTGTTGTCCGTAGCTTTGTTATAAGGCAGACTCGACAGCATCTAACAACAATAACAACAACTTATCCTCATCTTAACCTATCAGAGAGAGGTTAAGTAAATTGCCTAGGGTATCACTGGTTTTCAGCGTGTATTCTTTGAATCCTTAGGGGTGAAGGCATAAGTGCCCTCCTCTTCTGCTTCTCAAACAGATCAGCCTTGTTACAGTGTACTTGATATGTGGAATTTTGCCTTTTTATCCCATTTGGAAAAAGGCTAAGCAAATGTTTAAAACACACAGGAAGTAAAGATCAATTGGAACTATCTAGGTCTGTTGTCTTTTGTTGTGTGCTGTCAAGTCAATTCCAACTCACACTTACCCTATAGGACAGAGTAGAACTGCCCCGTAGGGGTTTCCTAGGCTGTAATCTTTTCAGGGGAACTCTGGTGGTGTAAGCAGATCACCAGGTCTTTGCTTCTACGGAGCACCTGGTGAGTTTAAAGCACCAAGCTTTGAATTAGCAGCTGCAACATGTGGGTTCCCAGAGCCCCAGCAGTGCTCAGAGCTGCTGAGATTTCTCTCTGCACTTGGTTGGGTGCCTAGCACAAATGTTGGTGTCCCTTCTTGGACTCCAAATCTGGGGACTGCAATGTGAACACAGGGGAAGTAAGCTCATCTCCCCCATGTCCTTGGTTTCCTTGCTTCTTTTCCCCTCTCAAAAAACTAAAACCAAACTTGCTTCCATCAAGTTGATCCCAACTCATTGTGACCCCATTGGGTTTCCAAGGAGGTAATCTTTGCAGAAGTTAACTGCCCCATTTTCCTCCTCTACAGATGCTTTATTTCAGAGAAAGCAGACCCTTCAAGAGCAACTTCTCAGAGCAACATCTGTGCTCAGTCATTTCATAATCACATACTCTCTTCTCCCCTGCTCCTATTCTGAGATCGATGATGAATGTTCTAAACCCCAAACTTTACTTAAATTGTATTAAATCCTTTGGATCTGGATTTGTTCAGCAAATGCAAGGCCCCTACAGACGGCAAATAACAAGAACAACAACAGTGTCTTGGTTATTATCTTGTCCAGGCAAATTATCTCTGGGAGCTTCCCCACCCTCTCTGCTTCCTATAAAAAGCAGCCAGAGCAGCCAGAGGAGCAGAGAGGTGGAGAGCAACCCAGGAGCTGCCAACTCTCACTGACGCTCACCTCCTCAGCCTCCAACATGAAGGTTTCCGTAACGCTCCTCTGCCTCCTGCTCACAGCAGCCACCTTCAGCACCCTGGTGCGTGCTCTGCCAGGTAAGCACTCCCCCCCCCCCAGGAAAAGTTAACCATCTCTGAGCTATCAGATTAGCAAGAATCTTGAAAGCCTTGCTGCAAATCCTGCAGTTTAAAGATGAACAAATAAATTTCATGAGTGAACAAAAGATTGTCTTAAGCTCACATCCAGTCAGTGGAAGAAGCCAGAACTAGAAGCCCAGGCTAGCAAAGCCAGTCCCCAAATTCCTTCCCTGACCTGGGTTTTGAGAGAGATGCTAAGTGCATCCATGATGCAGCTATTTTCACAAGGTTTAGGGTGGGCTCACAACAGAGAGACCTTTTCTTACTGTGGATGTGGTGCACATTTTTTTGTAGTGGTGGGGAAAATTTTCTGTTAATTTGAGGGCCCAGAACTTTTACTGGACTCCAAAACAGCTTCCTGAGACAGTGGTCAGGGGAAGGGGATTAGGCTCCATAGGATCTCTTGAGGTGACATATTTTGACTTTGATAACCTTGGGGAAAATATTAAAGTACTTTTTACCAGAATTCATCTTTCTGTCCTCTAATGACTTAGATGCATTGAGTATATCTGTCAGAATCAACTAGTGTGTGCTGTGGTCACAGACAATCCCAAATTATCAGTGGCTTAGGATAACAAAGATGAATTTCTCACTCACACTAAATATCTATTATCTATTGATTTATGGTTCTGCTTTACATCGTTCACATTCAGGGTTGTAGACTGATGGAGTAGCCATGCTCTAGAATATTGCTGGTTAATGTGACACAGGAAAAGAAAACTCTGGGGACTCTTGCACTGACAATTATGTGTCACTTTGTCTCATCAGTTTTTGGTCAAAATTAGTTATGTGGCTTTAACTAACCAAAACCAAAAAACCAAACCCACTACCATAGAGTCAATTCCGACTTCATAATGACCCAATAGGACAGAGTAGAATGGACCCCTAGGGTTTCCAAGGCGATTCATCTTTATGGATGCAGACACCTTCATCTTTCTGCAGTACAGTGGCTGGTTGGTTTCAAAGTTCTGACTTTTTTTTTTCTTTTGGTTAGCAGCTGAATGATTTAACCACTGTACCACCAGAGCTCCTTAACTAACCAAAAATGGCCAACAAATGCAATTCTACCATGTGCTCAGAAAGCAGAAACTCAGGGTATTTGGTGAACAGTACTATTATTATCATGAAGCCACATAGCCCCTCCTAATGATACATTGACCAAGGTTTTTCCATGCCTTTTGTCAGCGGCGATGGATCCTCATTGTACACCTGAGGACACCAAGCCAGATGCAGGAATGCAAGACTTCAGTGTTGACAGATTCTACCTCCATGTCATGCATTTTCTTGACTGCTAACTTCCTTCCTTACAAAGTTGTGCTTTAACATATCTACATATCATCAGTGGCTAATCCTTTCTTTTTATTCCCCCCACCCCACCCCGAAATTCAGCTTCTGTTCCAACCATCTGCTGCTTCAATGTGGCCAGTAGGAAGATTTCCACTCAGAGACTGGAGAGCTACACAGTAATCAACGGCAGCAAATGTCCCCTGAGAGCTGTGGTGTGAGTAGAAAAAGTCCACTCTCCCAAGCCCCAAAATTCATTTCTGGGGGACAGAGGGTAAGAACTGTATCAGAGTTACTTGGAATCATAGACTCAGTGAGTCTATGATAATTGATGAATTTTCACAATATGAAAATTAAATCCCAGCTCCCTACTTGAGAACTTATTCCAAAAAACCCACTGCCATCAACCTAATTCTGACTCTTGTTATTGTGTTGTTGTGATGTGTCCTCAAGTTGGACCTGACCCATAGCGACCCCTCCTTTGATTTCCAAGGCAATATCACTATGGAAGTAGATTGCCCCATCTTCCTTCCAAGGAGTGGCTGGTGGGTTTGAACCACCAGCCTTCTGGTTAGCAGTCAAATGCCTTGGGCACTATGCCACCAGAGCTCCTATTCTGACTCTTACCAAACCAAAAACCAAACTCACTGTCGTCGAGTCACATCTGACTCATAGCCACCCCTCCTTGGGTTTCTGAGGTGGTATCACTATGGAAGCAGATTCCCCAACCTTCCTCCTGAGTGACCCCCATATGGTATCCAAGGCTATAAATATTTATGGAAGTAGACTGACTCTTCTTTCTCTCATGGAGTGGCTAGTGAGTTTGAATCACCAACATTTTGGTTAGCAGCCAAATGCCTTAACCACTGTGACATGAGAGATCCACAGTCAAGAGCAAAGCTGACTTTACTGGGTCATCAAGAACAGCAGCTAACCCTCAGAGTCCCATCCTTCCTCTGTCCTCTTCTATGGTAACCCCTTCACCCTTCAACCCCTGGCAAATAGTTTTGGAGGATTTAAGGTCAAGAGGGCAGAACCCTCAAAGAGAATCCTTTCTAACTCTGTCCTCTCTCCCCTACAGCTTCAAGACCAAATTGGCCAAAAAAGTGTGTGCTAACCCAAAGGAGAAGTGGGTTCAAGATTCCATGAAATACCTGGACCAGAACTCCAAAACTCCAAAGTCATAAGCCAAACGCATTGCTGTCAAGTTGATTTCAACTCATGGTGACCCTATGTGTGTCAGAGCAGAACTGTACTCCATAGGGTTTCCAATGGATACAATCTTACAAGAGTAGATTTCCAGGTCTTTCTTCCACTCCAAAACCATAAATGTTCACTTCTTTTGAAACCAAACCAGAGTCTGAGAAATGCTTGATTATTTTTCCCTGGCCTTTGTAAAATGTGTTCTGAGAGAATCTTGTCATCATTCCAAAAGAGATGAGTTTTGTTTAATAATTTTTTTAAAAATATTACAACTATACTATTGAGGTTTAAAATTTAAAAATGATTATTATTTGTTTTTAAAAAATATATCTTTGGGCAGGTTGTTTCCCTTTCATGAGCCTCAATTCAATTCCCTTAAAGTGTGGACAATATTATTATTCTCCTCCCTACCTCCCTGGAGTCCTGTAAGTATCCTCAAGGAGCATCATGATGAAAAGGTTTCATATTTTTAAGAAGAAATTGTTTTTTTGTGAACCAAATGTGTAGTTTCAGTTGTTATATAGGATTAAATGCTATTTTTGAAATATATATATGCATATATATAATTTTAATAAAGTTCAGCAGTGGTATTTTTTATGGGTATACACATTGAATGTGGAGAGGTTTTAGGGGTAACGACTATGTTCCTGAGAAATGACCTTTTGGCTTTACTGGTGTGATAGTTAAGGTTATGCATCAACTTGACTGGGCCAATGTGCTCAGTGGTTTAGCAGTTATAATGCAATCGCCTTCATGATGAGATTTGCTATGAGGAGGCAATCATTTGAAAGGCATTTCCTTAAGGGTGTGGTTTGTTCCCAATATAGATGGACATTTCAGCAAAGCTCTCTAGCTTTTTGCTCCATCTGGCTCATCATCATCTGACTTCCAGACTTGAATTGCCTCCCAATCTTGGGATTGTTGCCTTCTCAGCCTGAGAACCAACAGCATGCCATGTTAACTGTTGATCTTGAATTTATCATTCTCTGAAGCCAGGCTTCTCTTTTACTGTCTGTGATCTTGAGTTCATCAGTCCCTCCAAATACATGAGTCAGGGGAAGCCTCTAGACTGATGCTTGACCCATGGACTTGATACTTGCCAGCCTCTGCAACTGCATGAGCCATTTCCTTGAGATTAATCTCTCTCTAGATATAAATATAAATAAATATAAAAGTTTTACTGGTTTTGCTTCTTTAGACAACAGCCCAAGACAACTGGTCTTCATTGAGGCTCAGGATGAGACTGAGGGAACCAGACAAACCTGGTCCATTCCTCTGGTTCTAATCCTCAACAGCAGTTTCCCAGACTTCAAGTAAGTCAGTCACTTATTCAACAGGAGCCCCATTATGATTCCTTTCCTCCCCAACGTCATGTTTGCCTGAAGTCTCTCTCTTTTCCTATTGCAACTGCTTTGTGATAGTCTCCTTGTGCTCAGAACTTACTGTCTGATTGCCTACCAACACAGTAATTTATAGACATTGGGAAATCAGAGGAAGACTAGATGACCCTTAACTAGATGGTGGAATTACAGTTATATTAATAAGATGGGACTTAAACGCAAGTCTTATGCTGTGTCCCAAAGATTTTGGTATGTTGTGTTTTCATTCTCGTTTGATTCAAGGAATTTTCGAATTTCAATTTTGATTTCTTCTCTTACCCAGTCTTTCTCAAGGAGGGTGTTGTTCAGTATCCATGTGTTTACTCTTTTCCTGTTGATCTTCCTATTGTT